CCCTGCCAACTGACATGGCAGAGTTGACATGGGAGGCCTCCCAAGCTGTTCTGTGTGTGAAGGGATGTGCAGAAAGGCTTTCCCTAGTTGCATGGTTTTTATGTTCATTTATCATTGTGTGGTCCGCTTGCAGGTGCGACTGGAACCATCTCCGGCTTTGGTGAAGCCCGTGAAGCCAAAGATGCTCCTGACCGGATCGCTTTCGCTTCCGCCCTTAACTGCTACGCTCCTCAAGTGATGCCGGAGCATTTTCTTCGAACAATTTTGGCAATGATGTCAGAGTTTGAGACGGGTTTAAAACAGCTGAGCTTGTGATTCTCAATGCTGCAGTGTTCATTGACAAGTCAATAGATTTTTTCTTGTGCAATAAATTTGATAGGTCCACCAATTGTTGGCAGCAGTTTCACTGCAACACATTCTACATCGACTCCCAGCCAGGCCCAAAAGCAGAACGCCCGCTAATAGTTAGAGGGCCGGTAGTGGCATTGCAATGCCGCCCCTAGCAGACTTGAATGAGTCTGACATGTCAGACGCCGCCCCGAATGAACCTGCGCCGAAACCAAAGGCAAAGGGAAAAAGTTTGCCAAAAAAAAAGACAACGCCCAAGGCCAAAGCCGCTGGCAAGGACTCCGAAGACCAAGAACCCCTGCCGATTGCTGATGCAAAAGGCGAGAGCTTTCCAAGCCAGCTCAGTCAGGCTAGTCAGCAGCCCACAGCCAAAGCCGCGCCCAAAATACCAAAAGTCAAAGCAAAAGCAAAAGGTGTCACAAAGAAGGTCTTGAAGAGACCATCTGCTTCTGTTTCCTCAACCGCTGAAGCAGGAGAGCCCCAAGCCAAGCCCAGCAAGAAACCGAGTGCCAAAACAGAGAAGGCCTACAAATACCAGTACCACGCCCTGAAAAAGTATGGCATCAAGTACAAGAACAGCGAACTCTTGACAGTGCCACCCTCATTTTTCTTTTCAATTTTCAATTGTTCAAGTTTTTTTGGACTCAAACTTGGACTCAAGGTTCCAGCCATTAACTCAAGGTCAAATGGGCCCCAGGCCTGACGATGGATGATGTTGCTGAAATTGCAGCTTCCTGGTCGCTAAGTTCTTGGTTACAACACATTCCAACCTCAAGTTGTTTGAACAAAGTTTCAGTTTCTTTTCCTGAGGAAATCATTCGGCTTGAAGCAGAAAAGGGTGTTCAGAAGGCCGACCTTGTTGCGTTGTGTGTCAGGGCCTCGTTTTTCTCATGGCTGGTTGTAGAAACCGTTGAAGATCGTTCTGAGGAATCCCTGACGAGTGACCGGGTTGCAGCAGCAGAGAAGAACACCGTGTCAGTTCCAGAAGTGAGTGCTTCCGCCAGTGCTGGTACAGATGCGGTGCCACCTGTCACGGATGATGCCGATGACGGCGAGCAAGCTGAGGAAGAGGCAATGGAAGTTGATGAAGTCGATGAAAGAGACATCGACTGATTCATCAACTGAATAATTCAGTTTTGGACCGCACCAGCTGAGCGTTTGAGGTGGAAAAGGTCTGACAGTGCCTCCCAAACACCAGTGATAGAACGAAACAATGAATCATGGATGTGCGCAAACGCGCTGCAATGCAAGGGTGTGCAACTGCAGGGTGTCCCAACTTTTTGTCGGGTTGTTTAAAAGAATATTAGGTATATATAAATATATTCATAGTTGGATAAATACATATGGCTCAATGTGGCACAGGCCATTGAGACAAAAAAATGAGTGGCCTTTAAGAGTTTGGATGTTATATTCATCCTTT